AACACAAAACTTAAATTGTTTTCATTCGTTCTCGACTGCTCCACTTATTCGCTGTGTTGTTGTGGCGCCACTAGTTGTGACGGGCAAGTTCACGCGACTGCATAAATACGTAAACTGAAGGAAATAAGTGTGAAATACCTCGTATGCATTGCGTAAGTAGTGTTTTATTACACCATATTTAGAATTTCAGTCTAAATTAATAGGCTTGTACATGGCATTTTAAAATTAGAGTGAGTGCAACACTGAATATAAAACAATTTACAAATTGGTAGTTACTAGGTCTAACTCTACGCCCACGGCCACGGCACTGGAGCCCTGCCACCACAGGCACTTGGACCGTTTCAATAATAAAATGATGGTTAATAAATACAACTTGTCAGTACTACTACTAGCCCTACCAGTACCAGTACCAGCAATAGTCTTAATGTTTGATATAACTTCACTTCAACACCGTCCAATACACCGCTGCAACACATAGCCCGCACGCCATTGTGCATGCACAGATACACAGTAGGTTAGAGTAGGTTACACACTCTAACCTACTGTGTATCAGTGCCTGTGTTCTGTCCAGTCCTGTGTCTGTGGCCCTGTGCTCACTTGATGATGCATATGCACGCGATGTAGCAAAAATCCTTGTCCCTGACAACAAGGCACTCGTGCTAGCGTCACGTGCCAAACTTGTCCTCAGTGAGAAAGTCGCGCGCGCGTATTGTCAATAAATGAAAATCTGGAGAACGTCTACTCTTCGTGACTGAATTCGCTGATTTACTGCTCAACGGACGTCAACGCACTGTGGCCACCAAATGGCGTTAGCTTTCCGACATGTAGGTTCCGTAGTTACCGAGTGCGTGCACGTTTGGGAGAAGCGAGAATGCTTGAGAGCAAGCGGGCGGGTGAGTGATTTGCCGGGCAAATACGAAAGGTGTAGTGAAGCCAGGAGCTCGTTGACTAGACGCTGTTATACGTATTTGAGCACTTCGCTGCTCACACCTCCTCCTCATCATCATGCATCCATCATGTCCGGACACTGCTCCCCGTGCGTCGGCGCTGCACTGATGCTCGTCTCAGTGCGGAGCACACGCTCCGACGCTCACAAGCCGATAACCGCGCGTTGACGGTTGAAATGCGTCATTAAAAATCCACTATTATCAAAATCCACCTAATCCTGATGGCCCATGTCCTAGTTTAGCAACACGGATTAGTTTAGCACATTTGCGAATATGATCGAGGCCGGGGGTCGTAGGGCTGTGCAATCCCGATCGAGCTAATAATGCTGATAGTGACCAGGGTACGTTCCGGTATACCGGACCGTACCCAGGGTACGTTCCGGCAGTACCCTGGGGGACATAGACCTTATGAGCGCTAGTGATAGTAATACCTCTGCAGCGCGCGAAATTAGCGCTATTTGGCCGGCGGCCGCCGGTTCAACCCCCCATGTAATCAGTCCACTTGGCCTATTCAAAATTTTGCTTATCTTGCCTTTATATCAACAATATTTACCAATTTCCTGACTAGTTTTTACTTAGTGACTACTAAAAAGTAGATAATGTTCCAGCAATTCCTGTCAAACGAGTAGAACTCCACTGATAACAATGAAATACTGAAATACTATCAAGAGCTAATAATAGAGGTATTATTAGCTCTTGATACGATGAGTATGCCTATTGCCTAATAAACACAAAGCTAATACTTTTGGAATAAATCGAATATAATTATGGGCCTGTTCAAACTTGCAAGGGCCTGTTCCATTTGTCTAAAGGCCTGCTTAAAATTTTGGGTGGGCCTGTTCACATTTTGGCTAATTTCATGCTCTGGGCTCCCCGTGCATCGGCGCTGCACTGATGCTCGTCTCAGTGCGGAGCACATGCTCCGACACTCACAAGCCGCTAACCGCGTGTTGACGGTTGAAATGCGTCATTAAAAAAATCATTCTTGCCATCGCGTATACAGTTTGCTTAATGGTAAATCGATTCGAGGCGTCAATTAATACGCGCGGGTCACCGCTGCCTGCCCATATGACTCTCCTCGCCATCTCTGGCTTCGCAGACAAACCGTTGACGTGTCGCCATCGGTTTTACGATTCGTGGTTGCACTAATCTGACTTGGTGCAAATGGCGTCATCTGTTTTCATTAGCCGATGGCGAACAGATGAAAATCGCGCACGTGACGTTTTTTTTGTTTCTGGTAGCGGCGCGCGTGTCGCGTTATCTGGTGACACTAATCGAGTCGGACAGCGACGACAGTGACACTAATCTTATCTGTCTTCGTTAATTGTGATAAAAATCGTCGCTGCCAGTTACGCGTATTTCCGCTGCTAGGGTGCGAGTCACATGCATGTTGCATGAGGTCATTGCTTTTTTTGTAGGACTCTAAATTACGGGACACGTGCAACATGGGTTCCACGGACTTGCCTATCGAAGACAAGACTGTCACCATCGTTCATGGACCTGATTTTGTCAATGTCGACTTCATCAATTTTGTCAGCAATTCGAAGGAGACTGCCAAGGTAGGCGCGTGTAGTGCAAAGTATATATACTGGTGCACGTCACGTACACTGTGGCTGAATTCCGGGGGACAGCGTTTATGGAGTAATTATGATAATCGTTGCGAAGCCTGTAATATTGAGTTTGCTTTTGGAATAATTAACTTCCGTATTTTCTGCATAATCACAGAATATAATTATTGTGCGCGTGTGGACGTGTTCGTGCGCGCGTGGATCGGTGCGTGCGTGCATACATGTTTGTATAATATGTGCATAGGCCTACGATTATTTCTTATAGGCAGTTCATAGATTGAAATGATAGATTGTTCTTTAGCAAATTATCAGGAACCAAATTAGTCTCAACATTAGTCTTAACTTCGCGATGTTCATGACAACGTTTCCCTGCAAATATGCATGTGTGCCTTGGCATTGAAAGCAGGACACCTACTTTAGCTGAAAGCTTTATGATATAGAACATTTAATGTAAAACAACTCATTGTACGTGTTGTGAACAATACATGCCCACACCAAATATTTATGACAAAATTGAGTATCGAATGTTTGAATATCCATAATTCCGTATTGCTTTTACCTGGTGTGTATCATTATCTTTCTTTAAAAATGATTTTGTTGCTTTTTTGCTTCAGTGCTATCAGAAGTAGATAATAGGGAAGGAGTGTGACTTTAATAAACAAGGGAAATGCGTCATTTACTAGCCTTAGAATACCTACGATTTACTACACGTAACTCAACCAACTTGAGCTCAAATCGTACACAGTATATTCGCCTAGCATCGTGCGAAATCGTTTCCTCGTATACACCCGCAATCCGGAGATACAGACTAAAACGTACGACACGATTTTCCATTATGTTGCCAGCAAACTGAATGTGTAAACCGCCTAACTCGAAACAAAAGGCAGCTACTAACGACTCTTGCGCCCTCGGCGATGCGGTGTGGCTCGCTGAGCTAATCTTTTACCTATTTACAGCTGTCTTTTGTTTCGATTTAGGCGGTTTACACATTCAGTTTGCTGGCAACATAATGGAAATCGTGTCGTACGTTTTAGTCTGTATCTCTGGATTGCGGGTGTATACGAGGAAACGATTTCGCACGATGCTAGGCGAATGTACTGTGTACGATTTGAGCTCAAGTTGGTTGAGTTACGCGCATGCAGTAAATCGTAGGTATTCTAAGTCTAGTAAAGGACGAATTTCTTTTGTTTATTGAAGTCACACTCCTTCCCTATTATCTACTCTTGGTGCTATGTATAGGTCATGAGGGCTATTATGCTGGTAATGGTGGCGAACGGTTGCCATAGGAACAAGATGCAGACGATAGTTCGCGACATCTCATTTTCCTCACACACTCTCTCTCTCCCTCTGCAGGAATGGGCCATTGAAATCTTCAAGATGGCCCACAGTTTGCTTGGAAATAACGGAAACACGATGCATCTGCTTGACAAGGCTCACACGAAGCTGTGCACCCTAGCCAATGCAGAGAACCGAGTGCCAGTCAGAAAGTAAGCTAGTGTAGTCGTTGTGTTAGTATATATGCGCATGGGAGATGGTTTGGGAAGGAAACATGTCTTGTATTTATCATGATAAAAGAGAGCTCACTTTAATGGTGTAAATGCATGTTCATGTATGTTCGCATGTTTTAACGAGTGTCCCGAGTTAGATTGTTAAGCGCCGATTAGTATTTATTAGCTCATCTGACATAGTCAGATGCAGCTTGTAGAATCGCATGAGCGTGCGTCCATGCGTCCGTGTGTCTGTCAACAGTTGGGCACAAATCTAAACGGCTCGACGTACGGATTCGAAAGTCGGGACGGGGGGGGGGGGTTCCGGAAAACGAGTTGGGATGTCGAAGCTGGGGGTCAAAGTTCAAAGGTCAAGAGGTGTAAAAGAAGGGGGAACATTCCCTCCTTAACTTAAGGTATAGGGAGGAAATGCAGAATTGCGGCACAAATCTAAACGGCTCGACCTAGGCTCGTGATAGTCGGTGTATAGCATCATGGTAGGAAAAGCCATCACTGTGCCGAAATTGGAGGTCACAGGTCAAAGGTCAATGGGGCACAGGGCAGATTTTAGACATTTTCTGAGGACATGGTCTGACGGAGCGATTGGAAAACTTTATTGTTTCAGCGGTGACCTACCAGTTTTATGGCTTTATTGAAAGGACCATGAAATGTACTTTCCGCTGACGTGCGAAGAGTAAGTGTCAGATAACCTTTTGACCTTCAAGAGGAGGGTTAAACATGGATTTGTTTACTGTTAGAAAGAATTTGACTGCCGGGTTTGCTAGTAGAATCTATACATGCCTGGATGTATGAGGCTACAATGTCACAGTCTAATTTCAAAAGCTAAATTTGGTTGAAGAAGGTTTATGCTCTTTAAATCGTATAATTTCTATGGCATTCTGTACTGTCAGTGTGTTACATGTAACTTACAGCCACTGCCAGTGCATGTGGTGGTGATAGTACTGTGTAGTTTTTGCCTGCATTAATTAGTTACAGGTGGCAGCTCTCTATTTCAGCCTGTAGGCTTGCGTAGGTAAATAGATGAGTGCTTACCTATTCTGTCTTGCAAATAGTTGTTGCTACTACGTACGATGGGAGCTTCCATCTTTAATCTTAAGACACTTAGACGTACGCGCCATCTCGTGGCAGCTTTCATAACGATCCCAACGAACATTCCTTCGAGAAGGTTTCTGATACCTTCCACTGTTTCGGCGCGTATGTGAACACATTTGGGACTAACAGGGTTTACTATAGAATCCCACCACTCCACCACAGAGTCACCGCAGTAGACGTGAGATGAGTGCTGTCGCTCCGCGGCACTTGTTTGATATACTTGTGTATGAACTAGGTTCTGAGTGGCTAAAGGAAGAAGTCAGCAATTATTTATGATTGCCTGTGCTCATCGATGCAGGGAACAGTCAATGTTACATTTCGTCTAACAAGATTCCTAGAATATACTGAAGCTCAGCAATGCGGAATCTTCTTTGATTGAAGATAATATACTAATTCCATATGGATTTTCGGCTTCATTTATCTGCATTTTTGTGTGCATTTGTCTAGTCGTGTTAGTACGGTGTTACTGTAGCAATCACCACTGTCAGTATCCAGGATCATGCGTTGATGAAATTTAGTAATTATCGGTCAGAGTGTACCCAATGAATCTCGATTAACAGATCGTTCCATTATAGTTCTGCAATAAAATGCTGTATTTAAATTAACCTTGTGGTAGCGTCTCTACACAACTCTTTTTTAAGATTTAAGAGTTAAGGTAGTTTTTAATGAATGGTACTGACTGAACCAGAACTCAATTAATGCCATGCTGGTACAATGCAGCAATTTGCATGATTGCAAATTTGGCATGGGGCACTGTAAATGCAAAAAGTTACTCTCAGAGGGCAGAATGAAAACTGTTAACAAAATAATTGCTGTTTTACAACCATATAGTTGCACTGTGCAATTGGATAAACGTTTTGCTAAAAATGCGGGCACGAAGCGAGTCACAATGCGTGCATAGGTATCTTGGGTGGTAGTACTAGGACACAATGCATCTAATTTAGCAATGTTTGTGGTGGGTATCTCAAGCGAATATTCTGTGTTTGCTGTAAGTTTCGCAGGAGTGGTCGTCTAGTGTGTCCATGCAGTAGAATTGATTGCCAGCTACTATTTAGTTTGTTAGTCTGAAAATGATGCTATAGATGGTCGTCTAGTGTGTCCATGCAGTACAATTGAATACCAGCTACTATTTAGTTTGTTAGTCTGAAAAGGATGCTATTTGCTCTGTGACGGAGAAGGGCTTCTACTTGGGTGAAAGCGTTATTAAACAGCAATCAATATTTGCAGGTGGGCCAACCAACTTGAGTGCATTGTCTACACCACGCTGTGTCATTTAATGCTGGCATTTCTGCTTTTCTCTGCAGCATTGTGCGTATGTTCGCGCAGCATAAGGACGACAAGAAAAGGGTTGAAAAGGCCCTAGAGCAAGCAGGACTCCCTGCTGGAAAGGTAAATGTGGAGAAAAAACTCGGGTCTCTTCTCTCTCTTTCTCTCCCTCTCTCCCTCTCTCCCTCTCCCTTGATCTATATATCTCTCTCTCATATGTCTATTCGCTATCTCTCGCACGCCCGCTCTCTTCCTCAGTCTCTCTCTTTCTCTCTCTCTCTCTCTCTCGTCCTCGTTCTCATCTCTCTCTCTCTCTCTTTCTCTTCTCAGTCTTCTCTCTCGTCTCGTCTTTCTGTTCTTCTCCTCTCTCACTCTCGTCTCTCTCTACCTCTCTATCTGCTCCTCTCTCCTTCACTCTCCGCCTTAAATCCTTCTCTCTCTCTCTGATCATAATAATATATATGTATTTCTTTCAGACCTCCTCACTCTTTCTCTCTTTTCCCCCTCTCAATATCCTCTCTCTCTCTCTATTTTTCTATCTCTCTCTCCTATTTATATCATAATCTATTCTCTCACTCATCTAATCCTCCCATTCTCCTCGAATCACAATCAACCCTACTCTCTCTCTCTCCAGCTCTCTCTCTCTCTTTTCTCATACTCCTCATCTCTCTTCGCTCTCTCTCTCTCTCTCTCTCTCTCTCTCTCTCTCTCTCCATCTCTGTGTCACACTCTCGCTCTCTCTTTTACCCATCTATCGTTTAAGTATCCTTGATATAAATATCAAATATTCGACCTTTCATTTGACCATGCATTTAATAAAACATTCTAATTTATGGATGTTGAATGGGAATATGTTTAGATCGCGAGTGCAGTGCTGCATTAGAGACGTTTCATTGTATTTCAAAAGCTTTTAGTACTTTTTCTAGCATGTTTCATGTGTACTTAATATTTAACAGTAATACATTTTATAGCATTTCTATTATTCCCTGGATTCTCAATTGGTGTCGCTGGTCGTTTTAACGACTGGATCGTAGTTACAGTACTGCACATGTAATTGAAAATTCTCATATAACAGAGATCTTTTTTTCATTTACGTTTAAGATTACGTTAGAAATGTTTACATTAAATAGTTCATCAAACCATGCTACAATACTGGCTTCGATCGTAGCAGCAGAACAAAAACTTTGACGGGATTTTGAGAAACTCGAGAATCTAGGTAATTGTGCTATGAAAAGACAATATATAGAAAATTCCACTAAACAGTTTCAGCAAAATCTTTCAGCTATGCAGAGAGGATGATGTTACCTTAGTGCAGTAGCAGCAGAAGATCACATCGCAAACGGTGGTTTAGAGACGTGCCTATTTCCGGGGAGGGCGAAAGTTATCTATGGCTAAGGAGAGAATAGCCTGGCTTGGTATAGAATGTAGAAATGTATAACGTGGATCGGGGTTATAAGTCAAGCACCTAGCGCCTGATACAGACAACGTTTCCTACCATTGTTAAAGAAGAATGTGATTTCTTTTGGAACAGGGTGAAAAGCTTGCAATGGTAAAAAAGATGGGTTAATAGGGCTTCTTAATTCGGGATGAGGAGAAGATAACACATTAAAATTGGCTGACCTATACTAGCTTGATAACGAGACTAGGCTGTCTAGCTCTCTAGAGGAGTATGTATAGCGGAAAGCTACGTTGCACAAAGGAATGCGAATGCATTATGGTTTGAAAGAGCCGGATGAAGCCTAGCTTGGGTGAGAGCAAGGGGAGTTGCCTAGCATCGGTGATTGAAAAGGTTACCAAGCGCAGGCTCGGGATAGTCGGTTGCCTAGGCAGGCACGCGCGAGAGAGTCTGGCAGCATTCAGGCGTGAGAGCAGCTGGCATTCATGCGCATGTTGGCTTTCATTACGGCCTCGTTTTAAGCTGCAATACGCGTCGGCAGGCAGATAAAAAGAAAGCCCGCTGCATCGCCCCCCCCCCTTCCTTCCCCCCACACACATTAGCTAGCCTATTACGCATCGCGTGATCATTTCCCACGCTTGTCGTTCACAGATTGACTCCATCGCGGTGGAGAAATTCACGTTCGATGCATTCTTCATGTTTTATAAGCACCTCACCGGCAGAGCGGAGCTTCATCAGATCTTCAGGGACATGTAAGTTGTGGCCGCGCTCGCGTGCAAACGACCGTGGCTGCTTCCAATGCATTTCGCATAGTGTCGCCGCATGTGTTTGCGTTTGAGTAATGAGAGGTAGAGCCTATAAGGGGACACCATAATGCTGGCGTCTCGTGGTCGCAGTATTGCTAAGGGTTAAGTGTGTATGCGTGCATCCACTCATGATGCTGCAGGGTTCACATAATCCCAACTAATTCCCTTATTACACTCTCGTACCCCAAGACACATTCTACGCCATTGATCGCCCTCTGCGGTCCACGTGTAGGAATTCCGCCGGACTGCCGTATTGACACGCGCAGAAATGACGTCTTTTATTTTATTCATGAGTGGGAGATCATGCGAGCCCGCCGCGTAAATTATGTCCCAACCCTCTTAAATACTGTTTACACGCGTCGAAAGACATTTCTCCCATTTGCCACTCGCGTTCGCTGGACGTCACACATCGTCGCACGGTGTGTCAAAAACATATAGTGCATTTTGATACACTTATCTTCGTTCCTTACGTTATGCCTGCACGCGCACGGATTTCGTAGCACGTATAAAAAGCCGTGTCATATAGCCACGCTTATTTCGTACGAAATGCATACGTCTAGGGAGAAGGCGCTCTCAAAATAGGAAGCGACGTAACTCGGATAACGTCTTACTCATTACGCGATCGCGTGCTCTATTGTGATGCGATGAAGTTGATATTTTGACCTCATCTCGTATCCAAACGAACATTTTCCAACATCGCCATGGTCCCGGGTGCGGGTCATCACTTGACACTGCGACGAGTATCTGTGCTCGGTCACTTAACGTTCTGTACGTAATTCCCTTGCCGGTTGTGTTTATTTAGGTAGCGATGGCTTTACATGCATAGGTCTATTAGATATTAGTCGATCGGGGCTCTGGCTTTTCATAACATACTATATAGCAATTCAAGAATGATAACTGCTGTTTTCGGAACGTGAAGCATAAAACATCGGCAAGTAACGGAGCATTGACTGCGCCATTAGCGAATTCGTGCAGTTCCAATAAGACAGTATAATAACCAGTATAGCTGCTATACGTCTGCATGTATCATCCTGTATTTCTGTTTGCGAAGTATAATTCGATATAGCTGTAGGCAGTGTGGCGATGTTATACACGACCACGGCTGTTTGTTTGCTTCAAAACACCATGTCACCCCATTTCGATTTTCTCGAATTTATAACTCCGTGGTGTACGTCCTTGTTACATCTGGCTTTATATACACCGGAACCTTCTCAAATACCTTGCCGCGTGCACCTAACGCAATACCTAACTTAAATACCTAAACGCGTGCAAGTGAACCGCGTAGCTATAAGTATTTGCCTCGTAATTTCGTTACTTGGGCTATCAGTTGGAGTGTAGCGTGGCTGTTACTATATAGTTACAGCGTTACTATACACTGGCTTCGATCGCGTGCGGGTGCGCACGCGGGAGTTTCTACTCGAGTAGTCGGATTTGTCCCCTGTCTGCTCGCCAGGACAGCTGGGAACGCCATTAAATAAATGAAGTCATCGAGGGAACGGATACGTCGTATAATGACGCCATTTTTAGAATTGCGACCGTGCCTAAAGTCGTTTATTTTGCGGTGGCGGCGGTGTTGCCCGGTCTTTGCCGAGTTCGCTCGCATTTTTTTCCTGATTGCATTTGCCTTTCTCATTGATGATGCACCGTGTGAGGAAATATGCAAATTTCTATCGCATAAGTGCTCTCGGCGATATGCAAGCTGCGTGTATGCGCCCGCCTATGCGCGCTCTATCCGTGTCACACTATAAAACCTATCAACATCACACGCCCGTTTCCTTAGCATCAGTAGCTTCTCATTGGAAATTAATGTTCCTCTTCATATAAGTACCATCGTTTCTGTATGTGACATCAATCATGATCACTGTACCGTGTTTCTTGAAACGATTCCCTCAAACTGGGACGCGTCACAGCCAGTGCTATAGACACATGCAGGGCTTGTAACTCACTAGCTTTCTTTCGTCGCTATACACTAAGTAACCGATACACCCGGCGTATATCGCTTACCGTTCCAATTAGTTCCTTTGGGTAGCGACTGCACCGTGATGTAAGTTCGTGAAGCATGTAATTACGCAGGCACGCTGGTACGCCGTAATGTCTACATACGCATACAATGATAATATCTACGTACTACTAAGAGTACATAATAGAGATCATGTATTCTTTATTATTATTGTATCCCCCGCGACGAAGTCGGCGGGGGGAGGGGTACTATGGATTTGGCCTCGTCGCGCTGCCGCCGCCTCAGAGATTTCCTTGTGAGCGCTCTACCGGCTGCAGTTCTTCTCGGATCATCTTCAAATTTCGCATGAAGGTGCGTTATCGTAAAGCGAAGACGCCAATCGTTTTTGGTGTGGGCGGAGTCATCGTTGCCATGGTAACAACATTTTTTGTCGAAATATTCTAGAACCTGTAACTTCTGCAGTTTTTACCCGATTGTCATGAAATTTGGCACACAGGACCAATATATACATATATATAGGACATGTTATATCGGCCCTGTGTGCCAAATTCGATAACAATCGGGTAAAAACAGCACAAGTTACAGGTTCTACAATATTTCCACAAAAATGTTGTTACCATTGCAACGATGACTCCGCCCACACCAAAAACGATTGGCGTCTTCGCTTTACCATAACGCACCTTCATGCCAAATTTGAAGATGATCCAAGATCGGGTAAAAGCTAAAGGAAAATGAAATTATTAAATGAAGTTATGGCACCTTTCATGCAAATGCATATTTAGATGCAAAAGCTTTGCAATATGGATAAGTAGTTCCAACAATATTTCCTGCTTGTCAGTGTAATGGAGGCATATATTTGTATATAGATATACCATATTACCCGTCGTCCAGATGGGTTTGATCATTTACACATCTTGGGGAGAAGGTCTGTCGCATACCAAAACCACCACTGCCCTTGACCTTAGTTTGACCTTGACCGTCAACTTACATTTCCTCTTCGGCCTCCTAGGGTAACCAGATTCCATATACTTGCACATCTGAGGCAGACCAGTTGTCTAACAAACCTTTGTCTTTGTGACTTATTTAACTTTACCTGCCTTCTACGCCCTTACAGAGATATTCCATTCATACTAGATCCCGGGATACATGTAGTTGGCGACAACTGCTCGTTTCTAGTTATCTATGTTATTAACTAATATTATTATCTATATATTCTCTGTTATGTGCTCTTGGTACTACATACACTACATCTACTACTGGCACTGTGTGCGTTGATGCAGTGGTGCGACGAAGAAGCCTTATCTGTTGCGAGAGCAGCTGGTGGACTTTCTGAACAACGAGCAGCGGGATCCACGCCTCAATGAGATCCTCTACCCGTACTTCAACGTGAAGACCGCACAGCAGATCATCGACAAGTTTGAGCCGGATGCCACCCTCGCAGCAGAAGGTAGGTGTCACGTGACTGCATGGCATCTCTCGTTCCCATTCCCGCCTCTCTTTTTCCCTGTATCCCCATTCTCTCCCTATCTTCCCTCAATCTCTCTATCTCTCTCTCTCTCTCTCTCTCTCTCTCTCTCTC